TTCTAGTGATTGGTCTGTAGAAATTATCTATTTCTTCTTGATTAAATTTTGGTGAGCTGTATGTTTCTAGACAATTCCATTTCTTCTAGGTTGTCAAATTTGTTGGCATATGATTGTTCATAGTATTCTCTCATGGTTTTTTGTATTTCTGTGGTATCAGTTGAGATTTTTCCTTTTTCATTTCTTATTTTGTTTATTTGGATTCTCTCTCTTCCTGGTGAACCTGGCTAGAGGTTTGTCAATTTTGTCATTTTTGTTTACCCTTTCAAAGAACCAGCTTTTGGTTTTGTTGATTTTTTTTCTATTTTTTAAAAAAAATCTCTACTTTCTTTCCTCCCTGATCTCTATTATTTCCTTCCTTCTGCTGACTTTAGGTTCTGTTTGTTCTTCTTTGTCTAATTCTTTTAGGTGGTAGGTTAGGTTGTTCATTTGAGATTTTTCTTGTTTTTGATGAAGGCCTGTATTGCTATGAACTTTCCTCTAAGAACTGCTTTTGCTGTGCCCCATAGATTTTGTATGGTTGTGTTTTCATTGTCCAGGAATGTGGTGGCTGGGGCTCTCAACCACTCCTGGCACCTGGGCAGGTGCGTCAGTGGCCCATGACAGTCTTGTTCAGGAGGGAGTTGGTGGAGGCTCGCAACCACTCCTGGGTTCTGGGCAGGAGTTGGTGCTGTCCCTCAACCACTCCTAGGGTCTGGGAGGGTTTTAGTGGGGGATTGCAACCACTCCTGGCATCAGGGTGGATGGTGGTAGAGGTCTGTAACTGCCCCTGGAGCCTGGGCAGGCAGTGTCTTGCCCTCTGGGAGCACACATACAGGGAAAAAAGGCTATAGTCTAGGTCCCACCTCTCCCCTCCTACACCACCCAAACAATGCTGACTGGCCTCTGAGGCAGCTCAGGCTTCCTCCGCTTATAGCCCCGGCCGTGGTGGCACCGGATTCATCCCCCCGCCCCCCAGTCTGTCTCTACATAGCCAACCCCAGTCCTCTCCCTGGTTCTGATCTCCGGAGCCCAAGTTCCAGCACCCAGCCCCTGCCAGCACTGGGGACGTGCATGTCAGGCTGGTGAGTGCAGGTCTGAGGTATTGAGCTTCTGTGCAGTTCTCCCTCTGCTCTGGCTGCCACGAACTGACTGCTGCATTCTTCTCAGAGGCTCTGAAGCTCCCCTTCTGTCCTGGCAGATCTCCCTGCCGGTGAGGGGGCTTCCCAGGGTGCATGAACCTTACCTCTTTCAGAGCCCCCTCCCAGGGGTGCAGGTCCCATCCGGATACCTTTCTCACTTTCTTTTTCATTTTTCCTACCTGGTTACATGGAGATTTTTCTTGCCCTTACAGCAGTCTGAAGTCTTCTGCCAGTGTTCAGTAGGTATTCTGTGAGAATCGTTCCACATGTAGATGTATTTTTGTTGTAGATGTGGGAGAGAGCGAGCTTTGTGTCCTACTACTTTGCCATCTTGATCAGTCTCGTGTTTTCTGTTAGCAATTAACATCCTTTCTTTTCAACTGAAAGAAGTCCCTTTAACATTTTTATAAGGCCAGTTTAGTGGTGATGAATCTGTTAGTTTTTCTTATCTGGAAAACTCTTCTATCTGTCCTTCAATTCTGAATGATAACTGCCAGGTAGAGTACTCTTTGTTGGAAGGCTTTTTCTTTTGGCACTCCATTCCCTTCTGGCCTACAAAGTGTCTTTTTCTTTTGGCACTGCCGTTCCCTTCTGGCCTACAAAGTGTCTGCTTAAAAATCTGCTGATAGTCTTATGGGAGTTACCTTGTGTGTAACAAGTTGTTTTTCTCTTGCTGCTTTTAAGCTTCTCTCCTTGTCTTTAACTTTTGACCTTTTAATTATAATGTGTCTTGGTGTGGGTCTCTGGGCTCATCTTGTTTGGAATTCTGTTTTGGTGTGGCCTGTTTCTCTTTTGCCCTATGTGAAGGGGTCATTCAGCTAGTTTTTAGTTTTCGTTTTTGTATTTTCCCCCCCCAGAGGAAATTGTTCCATATGTAGCTGTAGATTTGGTGTGTCCTTGGGAGGAGGATCTTCCTCCCAAGAAGATCTTCCCAAGGAAGATCTTCCTCCATCACCATCTTGAACTGGAACCTAGGTAGAGTTTTTGTTTTGTTTCGTTTTGCCTACATATATCCAATTGCTACAGCATCATTTGTTGAAAATATTATCTTCCTTTACTGAATTGCTTTTGCATCTTTATGAAGAGTCGGTTGGTCATAATTGTATGGATCTATTTCTGGTTTCTCAATTCTGTTCCATTGGTCTCTGTGTCTGTCCCTTCACCAATACTACATGGTCTTGATTACCATAGCTATATAATCAAAGTCAGGCCACTTTATTCTTTTTCAAAATTGTTTTTGTTGTTCTAGATCTTTTGCCTTTTCATATAAATTTTACAATATGCTGTATGTATCTACAAAACATCTTTCTAGAATGCTGATAGAAATTATGCTAAACCTGCGTATCACTTGGAGAGAACTATTTGAGCCTTCCAATCCATGAATATGGTATGTTTCTCCACTTATTTAGATTTTTAAAAATTTCTTTCATCAGCATATTCAGCATACAAGTCCTGTACGTATTTGGTAGATTTATATCTAAGTATTTTATTTTTTGAGTGATTTTTAAATGGTTCTGTATTTTTTAATTTCAGTTTCCAGCTGTGCATTGCTTGTATGTAGAAATATAATTGATTTTTCTATGTTGATTCTACAGCCTTGCTAAACTCACTTATTGGTTTGAGGAGTTCTGTTCGTTTGATTGATTGTTTTTGGTAGATTCCTTGGGATTTTCTACACTGACCAAGATGCCATCTGCAAATAGCAACAGTTTAATTCCTTCCTTTCCAGTCTGTATATCTTCATTTCCTTAGTGTGCTAGCTAAGACCTGAAGAACTATTTTATATAAGAGTTGTCACATCCTTGCTTTGTTTCTGGTCTTTGGTGGAAGGCAGTCTTTCGCCATTACATGTAGGTTTTTTGTAGATGTCCTTTATCAACTTGAGGAAGTTCCACTTTATTCCTTATTTGCTGAGCGTTTCCTAGTTTGCTGGCTCACACAATTCACAAAAATCAATCCCAGACAGAGTAAAAACTTATTTGAAATAATTATGGACTCACAATAAGTTGCAGAAATCATAGAGAGGTTCCAGGTACCCAACACCCTGTCTCCCCCAGTGGTGACATCTGACATATTGATGGATGCAGTACAGTTAACTAGACCACAGTTGTCTGTTCTTACTCAGATTTCACCAGAAAAATCTTGTTGTTGTTCATTTTATTTTTCAGATTCCACACATAAGTGAGAACATACAGTATTTGTCTTTCTCTATTTGACTTATTTTACTAAGTCTAATACCTTCCAAGGTCCATCCACATTGTTGCAAATGGCAAAATTTCATCCTCTTTAATGGCAGAGCAATATTCCACTGTATCTGTATATCGCGTCTTCTTTATCCATTCATCTGCTGATGGGTACTTAGGTTGCTTACGTATCTTGGCTGTTGTAAATTGGGGTGCATATATCTTTTCAAAGTATTGTTTTCATTTTCTTTCGATACATACCCAGGAGTGGAATTGCTGGATCATTTGGTAGTTCTATTTTTAATTTGTTGAGGAACCTCCATACTGTTTTCCATAGTGGCTGCACCAGTTTACATTCCCATCAAGCGTGTAGGAGGGTTCCCTTTTCTTCACATCCTCACCAACACTTTATTTCTTGTCTTTTTGATGATAGCCATTCTGTGAGGTGATACCTCGTTGTGGTTTTGATTTACATTTCCCTAATAATTAGTAATATTGAACATCTTTTCATGTACCTGTTTGCCATCTGTATGTTTTCTTTGGAAAAATGCCTATTCAGGTCTTCTGCCCATTTATTAATTGGGTTGTTTGTTTTTTTAACACTGAGTTGTATGAGTTCTTTATATATTTTAGATATTAACCCCATATGACACATATCATTTGCCAATGTTCTGTCATTCAGTAGGTTGCCTTATACATTTTGTTGACGGTTTCCTTTGCTGTGCAAAATCTTTTAAGTTTGATTAGGTCCCATTTGATTATTTTTGCTTTTGTGTCCCTTGCCTGAGGAGACAGATCCAAAAAATTATTGCTAAGACCAGTGTCAAAGAACGTATTGCCTATGTTTTCTTCTAAGAGTTTTACAGTTTCAGGTCTTATATTTAGGTCTGTAATCCATTTTGAGTTTATTTTATATATGGTATGAGAAAATGTTCTAATTTCATTCTTTGACACGTAGCTGTCTAGTTTTCCCAGCACCACTTATGGAAGAGACTGTCTTTTCCCCGTTGTATGTTCTCACCTTTCTTGTAGAAGAAAAATCTATTTTTAAAAAGCGGAATTGTGAAGCTTTTAGATAGTTCTATAGGAGGACATATTCATGACCTCAGAATAAAGAAAGACTTCTTGAGTAAGACAGAAGTAGAAAAAATAAAGGAAAAAAATGACAGGTTTGGCTCTATTAAAATTAGTAACTTCTGTTCACCCAAAGACCATAAAAATTGCGAAAAGAAAATCCACAAACTGAGAAAAAAGTATTTGCCATGTATGGAGCTAGTATTCCGAGAGTACAGAAACGCCTGTGAATGAATGAGAAAACAGTAAAAACATCCCAGTGGAAGAATGGGCAGAAGGCTTGAACAGGGACCCCCCCCAAAGGGGAACCACCCCCCCCCCAACACACAGACTCAGGGTGGGATGCGCAGGCTCCGTGCAGATTCACCGGGCTCAGGAAGGTGGAGGAACCTGAGCCCAACACAGCGGGTGGCTCAGAGGTGGGGGGGTGGGGAGGACGCGGAGTCGGTGGGCGGGGCGGTTCGGTAGGGGAGGGGGAGGAGACAGAGATGGGGCGGGGGCAGCGGGACACAAGCAAGCCCGGGCCAGTGCCAGCGTTTCCACCAGCGGCGGCGCTCGGAAAGCGCCGAGCTCCGTGGCGGGCAGAGCGGCAGCGGCGTGGGGCCCCTCTTCTCTCTTGCAGGGTCCCGCGGGTAGAGCCCGGCTCCTACAAGGCTCTCTACAACTCGCAGCTGCGCTTCCGCCGCCGCCTCTACGCCGACCTGGAGACCGTCCCGTACCAAGTGCGCCTGTCCCGGCCGCTGGCGCAGCTGGTGAAGCACGCGGCGCTCTACGTGCGCAACACGGTTCCGCGGCAGGGCTTTCAGGCGCTGAGCAGGTGCGGCCCGGCGCGTGCCCCGCCGGCCCGCATGCTCTGCCAGGGGGGCTTCGGAAGTGTGCTGCGGACAAACCCCAGCTGTGCCTGCTGAATGTGTCTTTAAAAACGGGGGCTTGGGGCGGGAAAGAGGGGGGGTGTCCGCTCACCCTGCTGGGGGTGGGGGTGACTACTCAGTCCTCGAGCTGTGCTGACACGAGGCTCTGTGCCTCCTACCCTCTGCTTGGGCGGGAAGGAGCTCTGTGGTCCACACCCACGACGGCCAGCCTGTCGAGGCCACTCCCTGGTGGGGCGTGGGTTGGTCCGAGGTAGGGAATAGGGCCATCGGTACCGAAAAATAATCAGAGCAGAAAGTGGGAAGCCTTTAACTGCGGGGGGACTGAGAGGGGAGAGGGAAGGGGACGTCTCCCCCTGCCCCAACCCCATGGGCTCAGCACGTGGCATCTAAGCTTCTCGTGCACGAGCTGGGTGACCCGGGACCAGCTCATCAACCTCTCTGTGTTTTCGTTTCCTCTCATAAAATGGAGACCATCTGACCCGTCTTGCCAGGCAGGCAGGCTTGAGTGGGCCTCTTCTGTGTTCCAGGGTCTACTGCATCTGCCGTTACAGCTCCAGGCTCAGGGAGGTGATCACCGGGGACCTGCTGCCCTCCTCCTCCATGATCAAGGAGCTGAGCCAGGAGTTTGGGTTGCCCATTTCCCAGGAAGATCTTACAGAGGGAAAACTGCTGGCTGCGTCCCCTCCTCCTGCCCCCACTCTGGAGGACTTGCAGAGCCGGAATTCCGCCCTCACTTCTGAGATCCAGGCCCACCGGGAGACGTACCTGCAGTGGCGGAATGCCACGATCCTGAAGAACAGCCTGATCCAGGTAGGCGCTCCCACCCCCAGGCATCCCAGGCCTCCTGTGGCCTGCGTCTGTTTTCCTGGGCAGGGGTCCCAGGCGGGATGGGCAGGAAGTGCTGCTTGCAGGGCACAACTGTGCCAGGACCTTTGCCTCCCAACCCTGGAGTATCTTGTCCTTCTTGAGAGGTGCAGAGGAGCCCTCTTATGTGCAGTTCCTTTCCCTTGGCCCTGGAGTTCATCTTAGAGAAAGAACTGTGTGTGTGTGTGTTAACATTTTGCTTAAGCTGCTCAGGGCATGGATGCTATATGATGTCCAAGCAACACAGGAGACAAACTAACCTGTGTGAGAAAATGTGAGTGGAGAGGAAGAGAACAGGAGACTGAGAAGCCGGTGAGGTGATGGAAGGTCAGGTGCATGTGGCCTGAATGGCCAAGGGCCTCGCTCAGCCCACACCAACCAAAAAGGCTTAAAAACGCCAACATCTGGGGTGTGCCTTGAACTCGTAGTCTGTATGAGTGAAGCCCACCCATGGGCTGTGTGGGTGAAGCCACTGCCTGGCCCTCCCACCCCAATCTCTAGTAAAAGTCATCTTAGAAGTCTCTAAGTTTTCTATATGTGCCTTCTTTATGAAAATCGACAAGGAGGTGGTGGTTTTCTTCCGTCAGTGTTCAAGTTTTTAGCTTTCTCAAAAGAACCGGTTCTTTGATTTATCAATCAGTCTACTTTTTCTGTTTTCCTAATTCATTAACTTCAACTTTTACTTTTTAAATTTTATTTAATTAATTAATTAATTTATTTATTTATTTATTTTGGCTGTGTTGGGTCTTCGTTGCTGTGCGGGCTTTCTCTAGTTGTGGCGAGTGGGGGCTCCTCTTCGTTGTGGTGCGCGGGCTTCTCATTACGGTGGCTTCTCTTGTTGCAGAGCATGGGCTCTAGGCGCACGGGCTTCAGTAGTTGTGGTGTGTGGGCTCAGTAGTTGTAGCTCACGGGCTCTAGAGCACAGGCTCGGTAGGTGTGGCTTGCGGGCTCTAGAGCACAGGCTCAGTAGTTGTGGCACACGGGCTTAGTTGCTCCGTGGCACGTGGGATCTTCCTGGACCAGGGCTCGAGCCTGTGTCCCCTGCATTGGCAGGTGGATTCTTAACCACTGCACCATCAGGGAAGCCCCAGAAGTAGAATTTTTGGGTCATTTAGTAAGTTTATGTTTAACATTTTAAGAAACTGTCAAGCAGTTTTTCACCGTAGTGCCACCATTTTATGTCACCAAAAGCAAGGCACAAGGTTTCCAGTTTCTCCACATCTTTACAAACGCTTGTTGCTGTCAGTGTTTGTTTGTTTGTTTGTTTTTGCGGTACGCAGGCCTCTCACTGATGTGGCCTCTCCCGTTGCGGAGCACAGGCTCCGGACACGCAGGCTCAGCGGCCACTGCTCACGGGCCCAGCTGCTCCGCGGCATGTGGGATCTTCCCGGACGGGGGCACGAACCCGTGTCCCCTGCATCGGCAGGCGGACTCTCAACCACTGCGCCACCAGGGAAGCCCGTGTTTCCTACTCTTTTTGGAGTCTGTGTCTGCTTTACCCTTTGTTTTGCTATTTTTTTGACAGTAAGCTTTCAGAGTGCTTGTATATCCAACGTCTTCGCTCTGTCTTTGCACTTGAAAAGTGGCTGGGCTGTTTTCAGGATTATAGAATCAAATCCTCCTTCCCCCCTCCCCCAAATCTATTGCTTTTTAGAATCAACTGTTGCAGATAAGTCTGATGCCTATCTGATTATGTTTTCTTTTTAGCTAAACTATGATTTCCTCTACTCTTTGAAAACTTTTTCTTAATCCTTGGTTCTAGGTGTGCAGGTGGGGGATTTTTTTTGTTTTCACCAGAACTTAAAGGGCCTTCCACCATGATTTTTTCCCCTCTTAATTTGTACTTGTTGGTCTTTTGCACTCAGTTCAGCTATATCTTCCACTTCACTGATTTGATCTTCCACGGTGACCGCTGTTAGTCACAACTGTTAGCAATTTCTCATTTTAAATTGCACCAGTCATATTTTATTTTCTAGAAATTCTCATGATTTCCTGTGCTATTTTCACAAGTGATATAATTTTGTTAATATTATTAAAATATACATGTAAGAGCGTGTGTGTACTGTCAAAAATAACAAAAGCAGTATCTTTTTTTTTTAACATCCTTACTGGAGTATGATTGCTTTACAGTGGTGTGTTAGCTTCTGCTGTATAACAAAGTGAATCAGCTATATGTGTACATATACCCCCATATCATCTCCCTCTTGAGCCTCCCTCCCACCCTCCCTATCCCACCCCTCTAGGTGGTCACAGAGCACCGAGCTGATCTCCCTGTGCTATGCGGCTGCTTCCCACTAGCCATCTGTTTTACATGTGGTAGTGTATATATGTCCATGCCACTCTCTCACTTCGTCCCAGCTTCCCCTACCCCCTCACCATATCCTCAACGCCATTTTCCACGTCTGCATCATTATTCCTGTCCTTCCCCTACATTCATCAGAACCAGGTTTTTTTTTTTTAGATTCCGTATGTATGTGTTAGCATACGGTATTTGTTTTTATCTTTCTGGCTTGCTTCACTCTGTATGACAGACTCTAGGTCTATCCACCTCACTACAAATAACTCAGTTTCGTTTCCTTTTATGGCTGAGTAATATTCCATTGTATATATGTGCCACATCTTCTTTATCCATTCATCTGTTGATGGACACTTAGGTTGCTTCCATGTCCTGGCTATTGTAAATAGGGCTGCAATGAACATTGTGGTACATGACTCTTTTTGAGTTATGGTCTTCTCAGGGTATATGCCCAGTAGTGGGATTGCTGGGTCGTATGGTAGTTCTATTTTTAGTTTTTTAAGGAACCTCCATACTGTTCTCCATAGTGGCTGTATCAATTTCCATTCCCACCAACAGTGCAAGAGAGTTCCCTTTTCTCCACACCCTCTCCAGCATTTATTCTTTGTAGATTTTTTGATGATGGCCATTCTGACCGGTGTGAGGTGATACCTCATTGTGGTTTTGATTTGCATTTCTCTAATGATTAGTGATGTTGAGCATCTTTTCATGTGTTTGTTGGCAATATGTATATCTTCTTTGGAGACATGTCTTATGCCCATTTTTGGATTGGGTTGGTTATTTTTGATATTGAGCTCCATGAGCTGCTTGTATATTTTGGAGATTAATCCTTTGTCAGTTGCTTCTTTTGAAAATGCTTTCTCCCATTCAAGGGGTTGTCTTTTCGTCTTGTTTGGTTTCCTTTGCTGTGCAAAAGCTAACAAAAGCAATATCTTATACACACTATCCAACTTAAGAAATCAAACATTATCAGTATTTCCATAGTTTTCCATGTGTCCTTTCCCATCTCTTACCCCTTACTCATAAATAACCACTATCTCAAATTTATCTTTCACTTGCTTTTCTCTTTAATTTTACTGGATATGTATATAATTTCTATAATTTTAATTTTTGCTTAGTATTAATGATATTCAACCATGTTTGTGTTTATAGCTATAGGAATATGCCATTAGTTATTAATAAGCATTTGTATTATTTCTTTTATTTTAAACAGTGTGATTGTAAACATATGTTAACATGTCTTCTCTATAAAAATAGGCAAGATTTTATTTCATAAGATACATCCCCAGGATTACAAGCACTGATTGTACTTCCACTTGTCTGGAAAATATTTTATAGTCACATTTAAATTATCACTAATATGATTATAATAACTCATGGAAGTTTTAATTTGCATTTCAGTTTTTACTAGTGAGGTTGAATGCCTTTTTTTTTTTTTTTTTTTTGCGGTACGCGGGCCTCTCACTGTTGTGGCCTCTCCCGTTGCGCAGCACAGGCTAGGACGCGCAGGCTCAGCGGCCATGGCTCACGGGCCCAGCCGCTCCACGGCATGTGGGATATTCCCGGAGACGGGCACGAACCCGAGTCCCATGCATAGGAAGGTGGACTCTCAACCACTGCGCCAAAAGGGAAGCCCTGAGAGGCTAATGGCATTATTTCATTCCTTTTCCTGGCTGAATAACAGTCCCTTCTATACACGTAGGAACTCCTCTTTATGTATTCATCACTCGCTGGACAATCTGTTTGTGTGTCTTGGCGATTGTAAATAGTGCAGCAGTGAACGTTGGGGTGCTTGTGTCTTTTTGAATTATGGATATTCCCGAATAATGCCCGGAATTGGGGCTGCAAAAGTATAGGGTCACTCTGTCTTTAGTTTTCTAGGAACTGGGAAACAGTGCTTTCTACTGGCGGTTATCAGTGTACATTTCCACTCACCGAATGGGAAGGTTCCCTTTTCTCCACACTCACTCCCCCATCGATTGTTTGCAGACTTTTTCGTGCTGGCCATTTTGCATGCCGTGAGGCGATGCCTCGCTCTACGTTGCATTTGCATTTCTCCAATATGGAGCAATGTTCTGCAGAGTGTTGTGGTGTGAATTTTTGTTAAAACAATGTGAGTAAACTTTCCCTCTTGAAATTGGCTTCTTGAAAGTCTGTGTTTTGGGCATTCGTTTTCGGTTACGTAACTCAGATCACTTTTGAGAACACGTGTCATTAAAAACCCCACAGACTTGTAAATATGAGGTGCCCTGAAGCACCGGTTGTCAAGTTGTTGTTATGGAAAACGTCCACAAGGCGGCAGCATTTCTTCGTGCCCAGCTCTTTTTCCTGGGCAACCAAAAGCTTTAGGTAGAGTCATCTTACTGGGTGTGAATTAGTAGGGGAAGGTGCCAGAGGGAACACCCAAGGGCTCGTGTGTCACTACCTCTTCCCCGTTAAGCTTCTCTCCCCGGAAAATTGCAAAGCCTGGGTAAACCACCCTGCTGGGGGTGCTGTGGTGTGTAGGTGGGGTGACTCCTGGCAAGGAGGCTGGACGTGGGAACCCCACCGCCAGCAGCCGTGGAGACTTGGTCACTTTTTGAATCTCCTGCAGCCTAGATGGTCCCCCATGGTTTGGGTGCACTTGGCTTCCTTTTAGCTCTAGGAAGGC